TCACCCAAATCACAATTAAAGAAAAAAAAAAAAATGGATGACAGAAGAGACTCTGAAACTTGCCCTTGAGCAGAGAGTAGCTAAACCAAATGGAAGAAATGACAAGATAAAAGACCTTAACACAAGATTTCAAAAAGCAGCTCGAGCAGACAAAGGCAATTACTAGAATGAAATGTGCAAAAATTTGGAGTTAGAAAACCAAAACGGAGGAGCATGCTTGGAATTTCTAAAGCTGAAAGAATTGAAGAAAAAATTTAAGCTTCAAGTTGCAGTTTTGAAAGATTCTATGAGGAAAATATTGAATGATGCAGGAAACATCCAAAGAAGATGGAAGGAATACATAGAGTCATTGTACCAAAAAGAACTTGTAGATCTTCATCCATTTCAGGAGCTGCCATAGGATCAAGAACCAATGGTACTGAAGGAAGAAGTTGAAGCTACACTGAAGGACTTGGTGAAGAGCAAGGCTCCAGGAATTGACAGAATACTCACTGAGATGTTTCAACACACAGATGCCCCACTGGAGGCACTCGGTTATGCCAAGAGATTTGGAAAACGGCTACCTGACCAACTGATTGGAAGAGATCCATATTTGTACCCCTTCCAAAGAAAGGTGATCCCGAAGAATGTGGAAATTATCAAACAATATCATTAATATTGCATGTAAGATCTTACTGAACATAATTAAAAAAATGGTTGTAGTGGTATATTGACAGAGAACTTCCAGAGGTGCAAGCTGGATTCAGAAGAGGATGTGGAACAAGGGATATCAGAGCTACTGTCAGGTGGATCAGGAAATACCAGAAAGATGTTTACTTTCATTTTATTGACTATGCAAAGGCATTTGATTGTGTAGATCATAAAAAATTGTGGATGACATTGAGAAAAATGGGAATTCCAGAACACTTGATTATACTCATGAGGAACCTGTACATTGACCAGGAGGCTGTCGTTTGAACAGAACAAGGGGACACTGCATGGTTTGAAATAAAGAAGGGAGTGTGTCAGGGTTGTATCCTTTCTCCATACTTACTCCATCTGTATGCCAAGCAAATAATCCAAGAAGCTGGACTATACGAAGGAGAACATGGCATTAGGTTTGAAGGAAGAATCATTAACAACCTGCGATACGCTGATGACACAACTTTGCTTGCTGAAAGTGAGGATGACTTGAGGCACTTACTGATGAAGATTGAAGAATACAGTCTGCAGTATGGATTACATCTCAATATAAAGAAAATAAAAATCCTCACAACTGGACTTATAAGCAGCATCACGATAAATGGAGAAAAGATTGAGGTTGTCAAAGACTTCACATTGCTTGGTTCTACAATCGATGCCAATGGAAGCAGCAGTCAGGACATTAGATGATGTATAGCACTGGGCAAGTTGGCTGCAAGGGGCCTCTTTCAAGTGCTGAGGAGCAAGGATGTCTCCTTGAGGACTAAGGTGTGCCTGACATAAGCCATGATGTTTTCAGTCACCTCATATGCATGTGAGAGCTGGACAATGAATAAGGAAGTCCAAAGAAGAATTGATGCTTTTGAGTTGTGGTGTTGGAAAAGAATGTTGAAAGTACTGTGGACTGCTTAAAGAACTACCAGATCTGTCCTGAAGGAAGTGCAGCTGGAATGCTCCTTGGAAGTGAGAATGACCAGACTTCGTCTTACCTACTTTGGTCATGTTGTCAGAAGAGACCATTCCCTGGAGAAGGATGTCATGGTTGGTAAGGTGGAGCGTTGACAAAAGAGGGGAAGTCCCTCAATGAAATACATTGATACAGTGGCTGTGGCGATGAGGGTCAAGCATAACAAGGATCATGGAGCTGGCATGGGACTGGGAGGTGTTTCGTTCTGCTGTGCATAAGGTCACTATGAGTGGGACATGACTTGACTGCACCTAACAACAACAACAACAACAACAACAGCAACCCCGCAAAGGTACCAGGTACCTTATTTACATTACTAACAAGCTCTCCAGTCCCATTGGTGGGCCACAAGTGCCTTACATTTGCATAGCCAAACCCATTCATTTGGTAGGAGTCCCAAAACAAGTTACTGCACCACATAGAGTCAGGCCCGGGTCAAAATGGGAACATGGTTTTTTGTTTCAAATATGGTCTATTCAAGGTAAAAATTCTCTCTCTTCTGCCACCAACATGCCCCCTGCACCAGCTCAACCCAGCACCCCAATGGCAAGTGGTGAAGGAGAGTATCATGGCTGTGGAGTTGGATCCCTGCTTCTTTATTCTTACTCCAAGCAGTATCTAACTGAATATCAATTTCTTCACTTGAACCACAGTAATGAACATCTCTGTGGGTGTCTTTTGAAGTGCTTTGCAAGGAGCAGTGCTCAGCTAGTGGCAGGAGGCATAGTGTGGGTGACAGAGCCCATACTTGTCTTGCTGATATTTTCTCTTGGGTCTATTGGGTTGTACCCCATCTTGTCTCTTCTCCCCACTTCTCAGATGGAAAATGTGTGACTGTAGTGCCCTCTTTTACCCTCAGCATTCCAGTACTCTTCATTCTTGCATTTCTTCCCCAGGCAAAAGCAGACAAGACATCAGTTTTATCTTCAGCTCCGGAGAGACATACTGGAGGAGAAGCTGTACTGCAATGATGAGACACTGCTGCGGCTGGGGGTCCTGGCCTTGCAGGCCGAGTTTGGCCATTATCCACAGGAGGTAGGGCAGAAAGAAGGGATCTGGGGGCTCACTAGAGAAGCAGTTATAGGGAAACTGTTAGTAATGTGTAAACTCTGCCTTTGAGAAGTGCTGTTGGCATCTACCACTGAAATTAGAGTAAACACTGTTCATTCAACAAGCATTCATCGAATGTTCTTTGCTAGGCTCTGGGAAATATGAAAATGAACAAGCAAGGTTATACATTTTAATGTTATTTTTGTTAGATGCTGTCAAGTTGGCTCTGACTCATAGTGACCCTATGTACAACAGAACGAAACACTGCCTCATCCTGTTGTTGCAGCCACTGTGTCAATCCATCTTATTGAGGGCCTTCCTCTTTTTCATTGATCCCTCACTTTACCCAGCATGATATCTCCAAGGAATGGTCCCTCTGACAATATGACCAAAGTAGGTGAGATGAAATTTGGCCATTCTTGCTTTCAAGGAGCATTCCTAACTAACTATTAACGTAGTTTTAGTCTAATAAATCCCTCATAAAAACAGTAAGTGCCATTTAGTGTGTTTCTATCATTATCATTATCATAGTCATCATTATCATCAATAGGAATAGCCAGCCTTCATTGAAAGATAACTATGTACCTGCCACTGACATTTTCAATAGTATTAACTTGCTTAATCTTCACAGTTACATTGCAAAGTTGATATTATTACTCACATTTTCTAGAAAAGTGATCTGAGGCTCTGTGGATAGTAAATGGTAAGGTCTAAATTTGAGCCCATGTCTGCCTGACCCAGGGGCCCTTACTGAATCTGTTAGAGGGCACTGTCTCTCCAGTAACAGTTCCAATTTTCTTGACCAAGCCCTTGCCAACCACATGTAAATTACATTTGATTTAATTTGCCTATGGTGGTCCTGTATAACAGTCTTCAGGGAGTTACCTGAGGCAACTGGTTATTTAATCTGCAGATGTCTGAAAGCTGGGAGGGATGATGCCAAATATGTTGTTTACCTAACTATGGTTCAAAATAGGGATGCCAGACAGGAAGGAGAGACCAACCAGATGAGCTGTTACAGAGAAATGTGCAACTTTGTTCTTGGGTTCATGAAGCCTGCTAATCATGTTCAATGAGGTGGAAGAAGCTTGGCAATAGAATTCCATAGATACTAAGCACTGTGACCCACTGATGTGACATGTCATCCAAATGTGAGTCCATCTCTGGATGCATCAGTAGGAACAGAGAGGGAAGAGAAAGGGTGATGAAGTTTCCATTGATCTCTTCTTTGGTTCCCTCCTAGCTGATGCACTAGGTTTTATCTTGGAACTCACCACCATCATGTGACAAAAGCTGGTGTCACTGGCAAATATTAGCCTGGAGAAGAGATGTTTTAGAAGGAACAGGAGAGCTGACTGAAGGCAGAAATAAACTGCTCAAAAGAAATCATTAAAAAGGTTTAATGACCCTTAAAACCAGTTGGTATGGAGTCAATTCAGACTCATGATGGTCCTATGTGTTGCAGAGTAGATCTGTGCTCCACAGGGTTTTCAATATCTGGTGTTTGGCAAGTAGTAGATTTTTGTCCAAAGCATCTCTAGGTGAATTCAAACTTCCCAAATTTTGGTTAGCAGCCAAGCACTTAACTGTTTGCACTATCCAGGGACTCTACACACCACTCCCCGACCCTAAACCAAAAACCCCTTGCTGTTGAGTCAATTCAGATTTGTAGCAACCCTTTAGGACAAAGTAGAACTGCCTCATAGGATTTCCAAAGCTATAAATCTTTACAGAAGCAGATTGCCACATCTTTCTCCTGTGGAACCTCCTGCTCCTCACCTTAGAAGTCTTCAAAAAGATCTTGTCAGCCTTGAGATCCCATAAAACATCCCTTGAATGTCTTCCCAGTTATTTCTGCACAGCCATCCCAATCTTACCCTTCAAGGTCAGACCAATCCACAACTTTCCTGTCTGCCCACGAGGGGAAAGAAACCTTCCCTCCACGATCAAGACCCTTTTGGTGATTGGTCAACACTCTCAAGGGCAAGTGATGGAAAATTAAACAAAGGTTTGTTTGAATAAATCTGTTGCCATCAAATCGATTCCAACTCATAGTGACCCATTGGACAGAGGGTTTTCTAGGCTGTAATTTTGTGATTACCAAGCCCTGGTGGCACAGTGGTTAAGCTCTTGGCTGCTAACTGAAAGGTGGTGATTTGAACACCCAGCTGTTCTGCAGAAGAGAATGTGGCAGTCTGCTTCTGTAAAGAGTTTTTCTTTTCCCCCTGAGGAAGGGGATTTTTTTTTGTGTGTGTGTGTGATTTGGGTGAAAGTTTACAGAGAAAATTCACTTTCCATACAGCAGTTCACATACACTTTGTCTCATGACATTGACTAAAATTTACCACAATGCAACTTCCTCCCAATAGTTCCCTCTTCCCTGTGTCCGTCCCTCCATGCACTCCTGCCCCCTGAGCTGTCTCCCTGTGCATAAGCAGCCCTTCTTTCTCCCATGATTGTTATCTCCGAGGAGTGTGTCTACCTCAGGCAAATGTTCAACTCATATGCCTGTCTTTCGTTTGGCTGGAAGCCACAGGTGTGGGTTCAATTCCAGACCTGAAGCACAGCGAGAGGCCATAGTCTCAAGGGTTCCACCAGGCTCTATCAGACCAGTAAACCTGGTCCCTCCACATGCCCTTTTATTTTTCCAAATGATTTTGGTTTTGTTCCACATTGTTCTCCCTTTCTATCAAGAATCTCCTACATAGATCCCCCTCCAAGTGGTTGACATTGGTAGGTGGGCACCATCTAGTTCTTCTGGTCTCATAGTTGTATAGACTGCGGACCTCATGGTGTGCCAGTTGCTAGGACTAATTGTTTCCATGAATCTTTGATTTTCTTATTCTTCCTTGCTCTGGATGAGGAGAGACCCATTGTTGCATCTAGATGGCTGCTTGCAAGCTTTTAAGATCCCAGTTGCTACTCACCACAGTAGGAGGTGGAACAATGTTTTGTGTGGTATGTTATGCCAATTGAGCTTGATGTCCCCTGTGACTATGGTCCCGAGCCCACAGGTTCAACTACTCACTCCCTCTGGGTAGCTGGCTGTGACCAAGAAGTGTCTACAACCTTGTCCCTTGTCAGCTCTACTATACACCTGCAAATTCTTACAGAACATACAAATACACTTGTAGAAACATTGTCTGTCAACCCTATACATGGTCTTGGGTACACTCCCTGCTGCAAAGACATACCTAAATAATTCAGCCTGTCCACCCATCTATCTACCCATATACCCATGCTTGCCTTCAGTGACAAAACAGTACTGTATGTGCTAAAGGGTTCATCTTTGTTGTCTGTGCCTCCCATGTACCTCTTTATGTCTTCCTCTTTCTCAATGCCACCATGCTGATCACTCACATTTTGTACATTGCCCTTCTCTTCACCCAAATCACTACTTATCTCTATCTATCTAACAGTGTTCCCTCTCCTCCCCTCCCACCCCTGGTAACCAACAAAGAAAATTTCCTTCCATATATAAATGTTTCCTTGACTCTTATAATAATGGACTAATACAAGATTTGTCCTTCTGTGATTGACTTATTTCCCTCAGCATAATGTCCTCCAAGTTCATCCATGTTATGCAGTGTTTTGCAGAGTCTACTTTACAGAGTTGCATAGTATTCCATTGCATGTATGTACCATAGTTTGGTTATCCATTCCTCAGTTGATGGACACCTAGGTTGTTTCCATCTTTTGGCTATTGTAAATAGTGCTGCGA